GCTCCCCACCTCTGCAGCAGACCCTCCTACACTAGCAGGTAGGTCTGGTTCAGTCGCCCATGGCATCACTGCTCCTTCCCCCTGGATTCTGATGTGCACACTTCTTTGTGTGTGCCCTCCAAGAATGGATTGTCTGTTTCCTGCAGTCCTCTTGAAGTCCTGCAATAAAATCCCACTAGCGTTCAAAGTTTGATTCTCTGGGAATTCCTCCTCCCATTGCTCAACCCCCAGGTTGGGAAGCCTGATGTGGGGCTCACAGCCTTCACTCCAGTGGGTGGACTTCTGTGGTATAATTGTTCTCCAGTTTGTAAGTCACCCACCAGCAGTTATGGGATTTGATTTTGTTTTCATTGCACCCCTCCTACCATCTCATTGCAGCTTCTCGTTTGTCTTTGGATGTGAGGTATCTTTTTTGGTGAGTTCCAGTGTCTTACTCTTAATGATTGTTGAGCACTTAGTTGTGATTCCAGTGTTCTTGCAAGAGGGCATGAGCACAAGTCCTTCTACTCTACCGTCTTGGACCAATCTAGAAAAGCAGACTTTCTAATTTGTTTCTCCTCTTGATTGTGTCCAGATGAAGAGAGGGAGGCTGTCCAGTAAGGTAGACTGTCAGAGTTCTCTGACTCTACTATTATGCCCTCTCCCCAAACTCCCTTTCACAAGTTCTACAAAGTTCAAAGGAAGATAGTCCCAGGACTATGGGATGGAAGGACTGAGGTGGTCATGAGTTTCATGGGGCAGAGATTATTTACTGCCCAGTTATGTGCAGTGTTCTTGTAGGGTAATCCTAGCCCCAGTACCACCCTCACCCTTCTTTACAACACACACATTCTTTCCTCCCCACTGTGCCCAAATTTCCAAGAAATTTCCCAGATGATTCTTGAACATTAATCTGGAGGGGAGGGAGAAGAATACATGGGGATGAGCTTCTATTAGAAAGTATAAATAAATTATTTTAAGTAATAAATCTAAAGCTAAAATAAAGTAAATAAAAAGGGTGAATGCATAACTCTAAGAAGTTTATTTATACCACCTTTATTTCTTGAATAATGTAGGGAGTTTGATTATAAAGTGTTGAGAAGATATACTGAGATAGATTAATTCTTTAATGTTTGATAAAATCAGGTATAATAATATATGGGACAACAGTTGTTACATAATATTTTTAGTATTTAAGCCTCCTCTTTTATGTTCAGAGAAGGATGTAAGGTTTTTCTGACATTTGCATAAGCTCTATCTTTTCCATTTCCAAGTTTAGTTTAGTCATCTTTATTTTTATCTAATGTCATTTAAGAACAGGTTGGAGATACTGAAAATAAATGAGATGCACTATTTTAGATGGTGTCTATTAAAAAAACACTGAGACAATTATAAAGGAATTCAGATCATAGTCAACTTTTTGGACAGATTTTGGTAATATGTTTATAATGTCTACCTATTTAAATTTGTTTTAACTCAAGGAAACAGCCTCAAAAGAAATTTAACTGATATATAATGCTTTCACTTTCCCTGCTCCTTTTGAAGCAAAGTTGACATAAGTTTGAAGGGAATCCACTAAAATTTCCACATGTATTCAATTCTGCTAAATTTGTGTAGACCTGACATTTAGATGAAGGGAGAGGAGAAAAGAATAGAGCTTTAATGGAAAGCTGCATTACTAAGGTGTTTCATCCAAGATTTTCAGGTTAAGATACTGAATATATCTACAAAGAAAGAAAAACATCTCAAGGATGCATTACTTGCACTTTACAGACATCTAGCTATTTGAAAATTTCTAAGTGATCACATATTCATTCATGTTCTCATTAGTACTATTCACCAGATACTTCTGATCCTTCTCTGAGCACAAGTTCGGTTGCATTTTCCCGTCTCCTTTATGTTAAACATGGTCACGTGACTTGCTTTGACGAATGAATCATGAGAAAAAGCCATATATGTCACTTATGGGAGGAAGCTTTAAGAGCTAGTGTATAAACAGAACCTCTTTTCTTCTGACATGGCAACCAGCTTCAGATGAGGAGATTCTATTAGCACTGTCCCTGGAGTGAAGAGATGTGGCACAATGTTTCTCTCCTCTACCCCAATCCCCTAACCCCCATAAATATGCAACATGAATCAGAAAAAACCTTTGCTATTTTAGAGCATTACGATTTGCAAGTTGTATTGTTACTGCAGCATAATCTAGCCTGCCATGATGGCAACAGCATCTTTTAGAATTTCTTTTTTCTTATGTTGGGTGTTTAAGAATAATTGTGAAAATTCCACATCTTAATCTATGGGTGTTTTGCTGTCTATTTCTTACCTAGCTCTTGATTCTATTGTTTCTGGTAGCTAGTTTGGATTTAAATATTTGGAAACTAAATGTTATGTAATCTTACAGGAATGGATTTTAATGTGAATTTCTTATATTTATGTTGTGTACTTAATTTGAATTCTTTGTCATTTGTTAACATATTGGTCCATCTTCTCCATACTATTACATTATATATACCTAAGGAGAAAGTACAACATATAACTAACTAATCTTTATATATGCCTGTGGTACAAATTCTAGAAATACACATTTAGTGGTATTCAATAAATTTTTACTGAAATGATAGTGGAGATAATACTGATGAGAAGTTTGATAATGATAGAGACTCCAAGAAAAGATCATGCTCCAGGAACATGCATGTTCAGAGTGACTGGAGTGCAATTCAATTTATACAAATAATAAACTGCTTATATGTTCTAATATTTGAAAATCAGAAGTTAGTTTCAAATTATATAACTAACAACATTCTAGATGTTTTAATTGTAGAGAAATACAAAAGTATGAGATAAATATGAGGTTTAGCAAAAGACATTGTGTTTTTAGGGGGAAATGGTAAATGGCCACATTTCAGATGTTTGCTATTTGCTGGTTTTCTTCCTCAGTGAGAGATTTTGGTGGAAGTATATTTCAGTATTTAGAATAAAACTTTTGCTGACTCACACTACATCATCTTTCTGTTCTTACCATACAATTTTAATTTACATTTTCTGGCCCCAGATAACAGGTCCTGAAGTGAAGATTTGGAAATTCTTGATAGGTCTGAGTGTATTTGAATCATTTTTGATGCATATTTCCTGGTAAGATTCAGATAATCATTGATAATTTTGGCATCTCTAGTTTCATGAGATTCATAAGTGCTGTCCTCACATTCCCTAAATTTGTGCTCACAGAATTTAATGCAGAGAAGCTTTTTAATATTAAAGTGTTAGGATTCATTCACATGAAATTTAATTATTGCTGTTAAATCTTAACTAATAGAATATTTTGTAATTCTTGTTATATTTATGATAGAAGCAACTCCAGTAATTTAGAGGCAATTTTTTCCTACCCAGATCTACATGGTACACAGGTCTACATGGTGCTCATAAAATAAATGGGGCAAATGAGCAATTGATTAAAATAACTGTTATTGTAATCATAGTTAAATATGGTTGATTATTCATTTGACAGTTATTTATTAAATAGTTATATTTAAGACACTATCATGAGCACTATGAGTAGAGACATTAAAATGACATGATCCCATTCTTACAGAGCTCACTTTGTAGCTGTGGATACATATTGATTATATATTGATACATATTGATTATGATCTATGATGAATGTTATAATATAGAGGTGTGCTGTTGAAACAGAGTAGAAGAAAGGATTAGTTTTGCTACTAAGAACTAATGGAAGGACCATGGAATGATTCACAGAAAAAGTGATATTGGAATTGGACATTTAATACAATATTTCATCACTTTTCTCTAATTAAAATATTAGAGCTATTGAACATAATCACCATATCTACCTTGGATAATTAGAAAACTTTCCTCTAGAAATGAGTTGTGCCTAACTTTTTTTTTTTTTTTTTTTTTTTTCCTTTGTCCGTTTTATTTATTGTTTTTTAACATCTTTATTGGAGTCTTCGGTACGCGGGCCTCTCACTGTTGTGGCCTCTCCCATTGCGGAGCACAGGCTCCGGACGCGCAGGCTCTGCGGCCATGGCTCACGGGCCCAGCCGCTCCGCGGCATGTGGGATCCTCCCAGAACGGGGCACGAACCCGTGTCCCCTGCATCAGCAGGCGGACTCTCAACCACTGCGCCACCAGGAAAGCCCCTGTGCCTAACTTTTATACCATGTTCTATGTTTTGTAATTTTGGAAGTTTTAACCCTGGCTAAAAATTGAAAATATTTAACAATCACAATAGCCATTCAGAATGGTTGCTGACATGGTCTGGAAAAACTCTTGACGGTGCCTGTTAACTCTTTAATTGTAAGATTATGGATGGGTTTCTGTGCATGAAGTTCTCATCTCAAATATAACCAATACTAGTTTCTTCCATTTAGGATATTTGTGAGGATTAAATGAGATAATGCATGTAAAGCAGTTGATGCAATTAATGGTAGAGAGTATGAATTCAAGAAGTGTTATGTGTTGTAATTATTAAGAGTAAATAAGAATAGACTAGACAACAAATTACAGATATATCAAAAAGTGTGACACCTGAAACTAACACAACATTGTAAATCAGCTATACTTCAATTAAAAAATAAAAATAAACACTAAAACGTGTGGAGTAATTGGGAAAAATTGCAAAAAAAAATTACTTTCCAGTGAAGGTCTACTTGAAGGTTTGAAGGAGATGAGACAGTGTCTTTGTAAAAAGTCATTATTTGGAAAATATCCAGTCAAAACAATGACAATTCTATTTTTGTGAGGGATAATTATTTTATATTCTAGTTGTTTCTGATTTCAATGATCATCTATGGTGTTAATGTTGATGAACAAACAGGTCTGGGGTGACATGTTAGTATTTTACTCTGGCTGTTTGCAAACTTATGATTATACTTTATTGTCTAATTGCTTGATTTATTGATGTTTTGATGATATGTTTTCCAGTAACATTTGTAATTGCAGATATCTATTTCAACTTTGGCTCATTATCATACATTTGCATTTGATTTGTCTGACTGCTGCAGGTGGAAACAATAGGTGATGCATACTGTGTTGCTGCAGGGCTCCACAGAAAAAGCCTCTGCCATGCTAAACCCATTGCTCTGATGGCCCTGAAGATGATGGAACTTTCTGAAGAGGTGCTGACACCTGATGGAAGACCAATTCAGGTAAGCCTCTCAACAGTTTTGTTTGAGTAGTAATGTACCTTTAACTGAAGAGGCAAGAAATTCCCTTCTGAATTCTACATACTATAATTTACAGATCTAGATAAGCCAGTTGCTCAGGAAGGAGGGATTACTAGAGATAACTCATAAACCCAGGAAATGAACAAATGGAATATGACCCAAAATAGGAAAAGTTGTGTGGAAGACAAATTACTATGGGGAAAAAAAAAAAAAAAAAAAAAAAAAACAGATAAAGGATTAAACCAAGGAAGAACCTGCTGTCAGTGACCAATTCACCAACACCAAGCAACAGTGATGGTGAGAGTCAGTTCTGAGAGATAATCCGAAGAGCAAGAAATAAGAAGCAAGAAATTTGAGGACCTGAACAACTTCCTATGAATAGTGTACAGGTGTTCTTATGAAGCCTTAGGCCTCAGGGTTACTTTTTTTTTTTCTTTTTTACACCTTTATTGGAGTATAATTGCTTTACAATGGTGTATTAGTTTCTGCTTTATAAAAAAGTGAATCAGTTATACATTTGTTCCCATATCTCTTCCCTCTTGTGTCCCCCTCCCTCCCACCCTCCCTATCCCACCCCTCCAGATGGTCACAAATCACCGAGTTGAACTCCCTGTGCTAAGTGGCTGCTTCCCACTAGCTATCTGCCTTATGTTTGGTAATGTATATATGTCCATGCCTTTCTCTTGCTTTGTCACAGCTAACGCTTCCCCCTCCCCATATCCTCAAGTCCATTCTCTACTAGGTCTGTGTCTTTATTCCTGTGTTAACCCTAGGTTCTTTATGACATTTTTTTTTCTTGAATTCCGTATATATGTGTTAGCATACGATATTGGTCTTTCTCTTTCTGAATTACTTCACTCTCTGTGACAGACTCTAGACCTATGCACCTCATTACAAACAGCTCAAATTCATTTCTTTTTATGGCTGAGTAATATTCCATTGTATACATGTGCCACATCTTTATCCATTCATCCGATGATGGACACTTAGGTTGTTTCCATCTCTGGGCTATTGTAAATAGAGCTGCATTTAACATTTTGGTGTATGACTCTTTTTGAATTATGGTTTTCTCAGGGTATATGCCCAGTAGTGGAATTGCTGAATCATATGGTAGTTCTATTTGTAGTTTTTTAAGGAGCCTCCATACTGTTCTCCATAGTGACTGTACCAATTCACATTCCCACCAGCAGTGCAAGAGAGTTCCCTTTTCTCCACACCCTCTCCAGCATTTATTGTTTCCAGATTTTTTGATGATGGCCATTCTGACTGGTGTGAGATGATAACTCATTGTAGTTTTGATTTGCATTTCTCTAATGATTAATGATGTTGAGCATTCTTTCATGTGTTTCTCGGCAGTCTATATATCTTCTTTGGAGAAATGTCTATTTAGGTCTTCTGCCCATATTTGGATTGGGTTGTTTGTTTTTTTGTTATTGAGCTGCTTATAAATTTTGGATATTAATCCTTTGTCAGTTGCTTCATTTGCAAATATTTTCTCCCATTCTGATGGTTGTCATTTTGCCTTGTTTATGGTTTCCTTTGCTGTGCGAAACCTTTGAAGTTTCATTAGGTCCCATCTGTTTATTTTTATTTCCATTTCTCTAGGAGGTGGGTCAAAAAGGATCTTGCTGTGACTTATGTCATAGAGTGTTCTGCCTATGTTTTCCTCTAAGAGTTTGATAGTTTCTGGCCATACATTTAGGTCTTTAATCCATTTTGAGTTTATTTTTGTGTACGGTGTTAGGGAGTGATCTAATCTCATACTTTCACATGTACCTGTCCAGTTTCCCCAGCACCACTTACTGAAGAGGCTGTCCTTTCTCCACTGTACATTCCTGCCTCCTTTATCAAACATAAGGTGACCATATGTGCATGGGTTTATCTCTGGGCTTTCTCTCTTGTTCCATTGATCTATCTTTCTGTTTTTGTACCAGTACCATACTGTCTTGATTACTGTAGCTTTGTAGTATAGTCTGAAGTCAGGGAGCCTGATTCCTCCAGCTCTGATTTTCGTTCTCAAGATTACTTTTTCTATTCGGGGTCTTTTGTTTCCATACAAATTGTGAAATTTTTTGTTTTAGTTCTGTTAAAAATGCCAGGGGTAGCTTGATAGGGATTGCATTGAATATGTAGATTGCTTTGGGTAGTAGAGTCATTTTCACAATGTTGATTCTTCCAATCCAAGAGCATGGGATATCTCTCCATCTATTTGTATCATCTTTAATTTCTTTAATCAGTGTCTTATAATTTTCTGCATACCAGTCTTTTGTCTCCTTAGGTAGGTTTATTCCTAGATATTTTATTCTTTTTGTTGCAGTTGTAAATGGGAGTGTTTTCTTGATTTCACTTTCAGATTTTTCATCATTAGTACAAAGGAATGTCAGAGATTTCTGTGCATTAATTTTGTATCCTGCTACTTACCAAATTCATTGATTAGCTGTAGTAGTTTTCTGGTAGCATCTTTAGGATCCTCTATGTATAGTTTCATGTCATTTGCAAACAGTGACAATTTACTTCTTCTTTTCTGATTTGGATTCCTTTTATTTCCCTTTCTTCTCTGTTTGCTGTGGCTAAAACTTCCAAAACTTTGTTGAATAAGAGCGGTGAGAGTGGGCAAACTTGTCTTGTTCCTGAACTTAGTGGAAATGCTTTCAGTTTTTCACCATAGAGGACGATGTTCGCTGTGGGTTTCTCATATATGGCCTTTATTACGTGGAGGAAAGTTCCCTGTATGCCTACTTTCTGCAGGGTTTTTATCATAAATGAGTGTTGAATTTTGTCGGCTCTACATCTATTGAGATGATCATATGTTTTTTCTCCTTCAATTTGTTAATATGGTTTATCACGTGATTGATTTGCATATATTGAAGAATCCTTGCATTCCTGGAATAAACCCCACTTGATCATGGTGTGTGATCCTTTTAATGTGTTGTTGGATTCTGTTTGCTAGTATTTTGTTGAGGATTTTTGCATCTATGTTCATCAGTGATATTGGCCTGTAGTTTTCTTTCTTTGTGACATCCTTGTCTGGTTTTGGTATCAAGGTGATGGTGGCCTCATAGAATGAGTTTGGGAGTGTTCCTCCCTCTGCTATATTTTGGAAGAGTTTGAGAAGGAGAGGTGTTAGCTCTTCTCTAAATGTTTGATAAAATTCGCCTGTGAAGCCATCTGGTCCTGGGCTTTTGTTTGTTGGAAGATTTTTAATCACAGTTTCAATTTCAGTGCTTGTGATTGATCTGTTCATATTTTCTGTTTCTTCCTGATTCAGTCTTGGCAGGTTGTGCATTTCTAAGAATTTGTACGTTCCTTCCAGGTTGTCCATTTTATTGGCATAGAGTTGCTTGTAGTAATCTCTCATGATCTTTTGTATTTCTGCAGTGTCAGTTTTTACTTTTCCTTTTTCATTTCTAATTCTACTGATTTGAGTCTTCTCCCTTTTTTTCTTGATGAGTCTGCTAATGGTTTATCAATTTTGTTTATCTTCTCAAAGAACCAGCTTTTAGTTTTATTGATCTTTACTATCATTTCCTTCATTTCTTTTTCATTTATTTCTCATCTGATTTTTATGATTTCTTTCCTTCTGCTTACTTTGGGGGTTTTTTGTTCTTCTTTCTCTAATTGCTTTAGGTGCAAGGTTAGGTTGTTATTTCTAGATGTTTCCTGTTTCTTAAGGTAGGATTGTATTGCTATAAACTTCCCTCTTAGAACTGCTTTTGCTGTATCCCATAGGTTTTGGGTCGTCTTGTATCCATTGTCATTTGTTTCTAGGTATTTTTTATTTCCTCTTTTATTTCTTCAGTAATCACTTTGTTATTAAGTAGTGTATTGTTTAGCCTCCATATGCTTGTATTTTTTACAGATCTTTTCCTGTAATTGATATCTAGTCTCATAACATTGTGGTCAGAAAAGAAACTTGATACAATTTCAATTTTCTTAAATTTACCAAGGCTTCATTTGTGACCCAAGATATGATCTATCCTGCAGAATGTTCCTTGAGCACTTGAGAAAAATGTGTATTCTGTTGTTTTTGGATGGAATGTCCTATAAATATCAATTAGGTCCATCTTGTTTAATGTATCATTTAAAGCTTGTGTTTCCTTATTTATTTTCATTTTGGATGATCTGTCCATTGGTGAAAGTGGGGTGTTAAAGTCCCCTACTATGAATGTGTTACTGTCGATTTCCCCTTTTATGGCTGTTAGGATTTGCCTTATGTATTGAGGTGCTCCTATGTTGGGTGCATAAATATTTACAACTGTTATATCTTTTTCTTGGACCGATCCCTTGATCATTATGTAGTGTCCTTCTTTGTCTCTTCTAATAGTCTTTATTTTAATGTCTATTTTGTCTGATGTGAGAATTGCTACTCCAGCTTCCTTTGGTTTCCGTTTGCATGGAATATCTTTTTCCATCCCCTTACTTTCAGTCTGTATATGTCTCTAGGTCTGAAGTGGGTCTCTTGTAGACAGCATATATATGGTTCTTGTTTTTGTATCTATTCAGCCAATCTGTGTCTTTTGGTGGGAGCATTTAGTCCATTTATATTTAAGGTAATTATCTATATGTATGTTCTTATTCCCATTTACTTAATTGTTTTCAGTTCATTATTGTAGATCTTTTCCTTCTCTTGTGTTTCTTGCCTAGAGATTGTCCTTTACTATTTGTTGTAAAGCTGGTTTGGTGGTGCTGAACTCTCTCAGCTTTTGCTTCTCTGTAAAGGTTTTAATTTCTTCATCAAATCTGAATGAGATCCTTGCTGGGTAGAGTAATCTTGGTTGCAGGTTCTTCTCCTTCATCACCTTAAATATGCCTTGCGAGTCCCTTCTGGCTTGCAGAGTTTCTGCTAAAAGTTCAGCTGTTAACCTTATGGGGATTCCCTTGTGTGTTATTTGTTGTTTTTCTCTTGCTGCTTTTAATATGTTTTCTTTGTATTTAATTTTTGACAGTTTGATTAATATGTGTCTTGGTGTATTTCTCCTTGG